CGCGGCGCCCCTCCCCGCTAGGGCGCCGTTGCGGGCCGACGCGCGCCTGCCGGGCCGCGGCGCCCCGCCCCGCTAGGGCGCCGTTGCGGGCCGACACGCGCCCGCCGGGCCGCGGCGCCCCGCCCCGCTAGGGCAGCCGTGGCGGGCCGACACGCGGACCAGGCTGCGAACCGCGTCCCACCCGCTGATTCGGGAAGAGTCTTTTGATTGTTGCGGCGGTACTGAGGGCTGTTACATTTGCTGTAGGGCGAGGACGTCTGATTATGGGTGACTGGTGCTAGTTCTGGTAAGCGTTTGGAGTAAGGACAAGTTTTCCGTGGTGTTGGTTAGAAGTTCGAAACCCAGAATACTGAATTATGCCTCTGTCTGCAGACGAGGCCATGCAGTGCTTGCTTTTGCTCGTCGGTGCCCTCCTTTCTTCCTTGAAACGGTCGCGTGAAACGAGAGCGCACGCGCCCCACTAGGAGCCCCACAGATTGCACCAATTTGTCTGTACAGAGTGCCAAATCACTATCAACACCGCGGTATCTCATGGGCTAGGTATAATTGTAGGAGTCCTCCGCCCCGTTCTAACGTTACAACTCCCACGTCCGGCTCCCGTGAATGATCTCCCAAGGATAATGATGCACCGTAACTTCCCCTTGGTATGACCGCCAGACAGCATTAATAACGGAACCCATGAGAGCGCACGATATGCGCTTTTTATCTGTTTGTCGGGGAGCTGGCGTCGAACTTGCGCCTATGTTTGACCGGTGCCTGCCTTCCCAATATGTCCGCCTTTGCCCTCCGCTCCCGTGAGCGTGGCCGCCTATTCTCATCCGCCAGCTACGCGCTGCCGCGTTGCCCCCCCCCCCCCCCCCTCCGTTCGCAGCGTGGGCCGTGGTGAATCACGTGGGGTTAGGAAGGGAGGGACATCGACCGACGGCAGCTGATTCGGTCGGCGTTTGACGGTCCGCTTGCAGCCGGTTGCCACGTGCGAAATAGGGACGGGCAGACACCGGTCTCAAGGGGAGCAGCGAACGTTTCGTGGAGAAAGCCGGACGCCTGCCAGGCTGGCCTAGGGGCAAGTAAAAACATGGTCCGGAGAAGCCGGCGCCATCTTCGGTCTCGCGGTCGTCGACGCACGTTCGCCTGACCGGGGTCTGGGCTACCAGCCAGCGGTTTTGTATCTTGATTTTTTTCCGTACGGTTTCTCGCTCTGAAGTGGAGTTTTGTTTGATGGCTGTCATTGGTGAAGCAGCGTTTGTCAGAACCCCTGTCGTTGTGTGTCCTCCAGAGCTAGTCGAGCGATTGTTCCGGGGGGCACCTCGGCTTCTGAGGTCATTACGGCTGAGAATCAGCGCTGAGAACTGAGAACTGAGGCTGAGAACCAGCGCTGGAAACTGATAACTGGGGCTGAGAACCAGCACTTAGTAGTGAGAAGTGGGGCGGAGCACCAGCGTCAGAGCCAGTCGGAATTTGGAAATTGAAACTGCCCCTACCTCCGGGCTGCCAGTGTCAGTGGGCTCGGACCTCGCCATAGAAACAAACCAGTTTTTTATTAAATACTTGATGTTGCATGCCATGTGTTTCGATGTTCTGACGACGTGCTTTTTGTTGCGATTTCACTGCCCGCTCAACCTTTGCCTGTTCTCTTGTGGGCTAGTCTTTTCTCCCTTTGGCGCCTCAGCCGCTGTAGCACGGACGCAGTCCCCACTGTCAAGTAATCCAAGAATTAAATTTTGCGGTTCACTTGCTGGTCTTGCAGTGAACGATGTTAGGGCCTCTGGCCAGTGGTCCTTCGATTTCTCTCGGTTTGACAGATCTCATCCAACCTTATCTCTCTCCTATAGCGTCGCCCTCCCCTCTCCTTCTCCCCTGGGCCGAGGCGCCACCGGCGCCGCCGTGTCGCTCCGCCTCCTCCTCCTTGCACGCAGCGGACGTCTGGAATCGCGTGCGGTTCGAGTCGGCCTTCCGGCCCGACCTAGGCCGGCGTCGGACGGCCGAGGCTCGGGGCTGGGGCCGAGCGGCCCCGCTCAGTCACGGTGCCGCCGGCGCGAGACAGGCGGCGGCGGCGGCGGCGGTGCCGGTGGCGGTGGCGGTGGCGGCGGTGGCGGTGGCGGGCTTGTGTGCTCCGGGTACTAGATGCGCACGTGATGGGTTCAGCGCGCCCGCAGTATGTGGTTCTGGGGAAGGGGGCACGCCGCGAGCGTGCTCCGTAGAGTAGGTTCTAGCGTGTCGAGAGCGGTAGCTGGGGAACTATGCCGAACAGTACAGAGCATTTCAGCGGCTGAGTTTTGTGGCCGCTTGGGTGCGCGCTGTGCACGCGCTGTCATCAGTCTCACAAAGTGCCCTGTGCCCGATGGCTCACCGGTCACTCGAGCCAGCTTCAGTCCACCTGCATCCTCTGGGGGACCTTGCGGGAGCTTACGTGGGGGATGGGAGCGCCGACCGTCGCTCGGTCCCGCAGTGAGTTCGTCTGATCAGCAGCGATGGGGCAGGGGGGGGGGGGGGCGGACGGTCGTCCCTGCCGCCCCGGGTCGCCAACAGCCGGCTGAGGACCGAGCCACGCGCGCCGCCCGGGTGGACGACCCCTCCCCGCTTCGCCCGCCGAGCGGGGTCACAGGGCACCGCCGCCCGGTGATAGGCTATCGGCCCGGGGCGATAACCGCCCGGCGCGCCGCGCTATGTCGGGCTGCGTGCGGTGTGCGTGCGCGTGGAGGCGCCGGCGCGCGGCCCGGCGGCGGGGAGCGGCGCGCAGCGGCAGGGGCGGAGGCAGCCGCGAGATGGAGGGGAGCGGGTGCGCTGATCGATCGCCTGCTGGTCCGGGGCCGGCGCCACGGCACGCTCGTGTCGGACCCCACCGACGGAGAGGTTGAGCCTCGCGGACAGGTGCGCAGCCGGCACCGGGACGCGGACAGCGGCACTGAGCCGTGCGCGCGGCGCGCGCCGGCCCGCCCCTGGTCGCCGGTAGCGGACCGGCGGGGGTGGGTGACCGGTGTCGGCCTCGCGGGACCGCACGTGCAGCCGCACCCGCGCCGGGGCCCGCGCTGCCTTGAATGGGATTAGTCAACCGGGCCTCTCTGGCACCAAGGCAACGATGGAAGACATGGGGGGAGGGGGGACTGACGACGTCAAGGTAACGGACCGGCGGCAAATCGGACCGACTGATGCAATGTGGCTAAATCCGACTGGGGGCTCGGGACGAGTACTACCACACGGGGCGCCTGACCAGCGCCAATTGTGGCTCGGGCTGGGCCTATCGGCCTGCCATCTGGCGCCGAAAGCGATCATACTTGGAAATGACCTGCGATATTGCGCAGCGGACGTGCGATGCGCGGAAAGTTAGTCCGCTTTTGAAAGGGGGACGCGCGACGAACACTTCCTGACCAGTGTCTGACGAGCGTCCTCCGCGCACGGCCGATGCACAGGTGCGAGAGGCCGCGGAGCGTTGAGGGGCAGCGCCAGGCGCTCGGCCAGCGGCGGTGTTTGCGTGCGGGGCACCGCGTGACTCCGTGGCGCCGACCTGCCGCGGTATTCGCGCCGCCTGTCGCGGCGGCGGCGCCGGCGCCAGCTGGCCCGTCGAGAACGGCGAGCTGTCCACCGGAGCGGCGCGGCCGGGCCGCTCGGACCCCCGTCAGCCGCCGTCTGGCCCTGCAGCGACGCCGCTGTCCGCCTCGTTCGTGCCTGCTTGTCGCGATCGATTTCGCTCCGTTCCTGTCCATCTCGGTTTGGTCTGATCTGCCCTCGCCCTCCCGTCCCTCGTCGGCTCTGCCCTGCCGGTCTCCCTGGCGCGTCGACGTCCCCAGGCTCCGCCCCTCTCCAGCCGGACCTCCCCAGCTCTGTCCGGATGCGACCGGTTTTGACCGGCTATATCCGGACCTGGCCTGGCTCTTCCGGCCGTCTCGTCTGGCGCGTCGTCGCTCGGCGTGCTGTGAGCGGCGGTCGGAGTTCCCCGTGACTCCCACGACCGACCTGGCAGCTGTCGGGATCCCTGGGAGACGGGCGTGAACGCACAGCTGTCAGATCGCGTTTTGGGTCGTGAAAGCCAAGCTCAAAGCCGGGGCACCGTTAACCTTTCCCTCGCTCCACACCGCGCCGAGGCTGCCGCACTGATGCGTTACCCGTGCATCCTTATGTAAACAACGTAACTGTTGGTATTGCCGCGCAAGGTGGAGGTCGGCGCCTCGCCGGGTCGCCTGCCGCGGGCCTGCAGCCGGCCCAGCTGCCGCCGCTCGGCGCGCAACACGAGCTCTCGTGCCGGTCGGGCGCCCAGAGACCGGCCCGCCGCCCCGCTCCCCGGACGGGGGCAGGCCCCGAGAGTCACCGACGAGCGTCGCCGACTGCCGCGCCGTCGGTGACTCAGACTGGCGCCCGCCTGACTCCGCACGCTTCCGGCGGCCGTTTGTGGTACCTGTGGCCCCGAGGGGCGCTTGCATTCCTGGGCGGACGGTAATCCTGCTCCCCACGCTAAGCCCCCCGTACCGCGCCAAAAGTAGCGGGGATGCGCCGTGCGCAATCCTCGTCGGCACCCGTTCCGGGAACGGGTTGGCATAACAGCGGTGCGGCGCCAGGGTTGCGTCATACGTCTGGGTGCTGGGAGGTCTCGTGGCCACCGGGCAGCCCTGGCCCGGTGTCGTCATCTGGTTGGTGGGCAGTGTTTTTTCCTCGGTACCGGCCTTCATGTCTGGGGCGCCGCTTCCCCGGCATGCCGATCCAACACAATCATGTCCGATCTGCCCGCCAGGGTGCAGCCGTACCGGGCGCCATGTTGGGCGGCCTCCTTGTTTGGAAGCCGCCAGCGCGCCGACGAGGATTTGTTGTCACGGCCTGGGCGCTGGCGAGTCCGAGGTGCCGCTGCAGTTCGAGAGTGCCGTGACGTCAGCACTGCCGTCACGGAACGACGGTCTCTCATAGCACGCGGACTCGCCTCATCCTTTGTCAGGGCCCGATCTGGTGCCTGACCTCTGGTGTGCCCGGTGACCTGAGGTCAGCGCCTGACCCTCCCCGTCTGCCCGCAGGTGAAGCAGCAGGCCGTGCCCGGCATCGACTACTCCTTCCTGGCCATGGACACCGACAACGGAGTGGAGGTCGTCTGGAACGAGGTGAGTGCCGGCCTTGAGACGCCCTCTGACGTGCGCAGTGCGCGCGCGCGCGCCGCTGTCGGGGATGACCGGCGTGCCGGCAGGGCACAGGGTCTGGGGTATCCTAGCGTACGACGAGAGCGGCTGAAGCGACAACGGTGCGGGAGAAGGCTTTTAGAGGCAATCAATGAGCTATAGCAGAGATTGCCAGTTTGTTTTCGTAGAACGGGCGGGAAGTTTATATTCTTTAAAGCAGCTTCTCATCCCGGAACAACTCCGTTGACTGCCATACACTGCCATGTGAATGCGGACGCCGATCAGCCGTCTCTCATGGTTGAGGTCAAAACTTTGGGATTTACCACAGCGTAACGAGCATAATTCTGGCACAAATCAGAAAGTAAACCTCCAGAACGGTCTTGCATTGGGCCCAGTGCACGAAGGAGCACGATGACAACGTTTTTGTATGAGCGCTGTGTAGCGCGTGCACTGACGAGCAGCGTCACCAGAAGACTGCACCGGTTAGGGAAGGTCCGGTCGGGTGCCAGGTCTGCAGCGTAATGCGTACAAAGCGGGCCGAATGGCTGTGCATGCAATGAGAGCCACAAATAGGCGTACCTATGTCGATGACAAGCGTTAAGGGTGCGCATCGTGTGTTGGCTGGTATTCCGAATGTAGGTACACTTGGTGCGAGGGGTATGCCTTGCATGCAGTTTGGGAGTGAACCCTGTCACCCTTCCGCCGGGAACACAAAACTTTACAATCAGCCTCAAACTTTGAACCTGTAGTGGGCGTCACTTGCCTCTGCGGCAACTCGAGCTGCCGTTTGGCAAACATATGTCGCGGCCTGCTCAGACCATGTGCATCTGGTGCTGAAAGCTCGCCTCAACCCCGGCTCAGCCATCGACCTCCGGTGGCCAGTGTATCAAAGGGATGGTTCCGAACCCGCGGCGAGGCTGCAGGTAAGTGCGGAAAATAATGTTTGGCCGTATCTGTAAATGGGGTGCAGCTAATGCTAAGTGAAAAAATTAATGTCATGGCATTGATCCACGCCCCCATATTCCAGCACGTGGTAACAATCACAGGACGTCATCTGAGGCGTTCAACACCGTCGTGTGCTGTTCTATTCTTAAGTCTCACCGTTATGTTACTTTAGATCACTGTCTACGGGCTCAGTTATTTTAAGCACAAACTCAGTCTTCAAGCAGTCCGACAGCAGCTATGCACGGTAGCATTAGCTGTACTGATCGCAGGTCGCAGACACCAAAGCCCCAGACCAGTCCTCGTGGCTGTGGGCGGTCGGCGCCCGCGCGGCTCTCCGGCCAGCGCCGGGGTCTACCTCCGGCCGAGGTCGGCTCCGGCTCCGCGGCCGGGCCGGAGCGGCGGCTGTACCGTCCCGTCACGCCGCCCTCGCCGCCGCCACCTGGCTGGCGTTCGGCCCGCCTCTGCGGTGACGACGCCGCCAAAATAGCGCGCAAATCTGTCTTTTGGAGCCGGCGAAGCGCAGTAGCGGCTGGCCGCACCACCCGGACGGCGGCGAGGCCTCAGCCTCGGGGCCGATGCGCAGGGCGCCACGTCTCACGTGCGCAACGGCGGCAGGACGACGGAGAGGGCGGAGGGGGCTCGGCGCACGCGCAGGGCGAGCGGGCAGCAGGACGACGGAGAGGGCGACGGGGGTTCGGTGCGCACGCTGGGTGAGCGGGCGGCAGGACGACGGAGAGGGCGGTGGCGGCTCGGCGCGCGCGCAGGGCGAGCGGGCAGCAGGACGAAAGAGAGGGTGGAGGGGGCTCGGCGCGCACGCTGGGCGAGCGGGTAGCAGGACGACGGAGAGGGCGGTGGGGGCTCGGCGCGCGCGCAGGGCGAGCGGGCAGCAGGACGACGGAGAGGGCGGAGGGGGTTCGGCGCGCGCGCCGGGTGAGCGGGACAGCACGTCAACGGAGAGGGCGGTGGGGGCTCGGCGCGCACGCTGGGCGCGCGGCAGGCCCGGCACCGGTGCCGTCACAGCTGGTGTGTGCGGCGATGCTGAAGTGAGGCGGAGCGGGTCCTGCCACACCGCGGTCACGCTCTGGGGAAGAAGACTAGCGCCTGGAGCCCGACTTTTCGCGGCCCGACAAACGCTCACAGCCCGCTCGCGCTGGATGGCAACCGTCCGCAAAAGTTACAGGCACGTCTGCCCATAAGGGGTTAGGTTTTCAGAGGTTCGGCGGTTTGGTTCCCATGTCGCTGGCACGCGGCTGCGCCGATGGCATGTAGCGGCGTAATTGGATGCCGGACCTTGCCACGTGATCGGGGTCCCGTGTCGGAGGCGAGCCGGACGCCGGGCCATTGTCGGCCGGCCATTACGCGGCCGTGATCGGGCGCGGGGCGCCGGAGAGTGATCCGAGTCGGCCCGAACAACACCGTCTTAAGACGAGCAACACCGGCTTAGACCCGACCCGACACGAACCGCCCCGCTACTGGGTCGCCGAGCCACCCACTTAGTTCTGACCGGTTTAAGGACAGATTAGACAGCCGGCTGCGGCGGCGTTCTTGGGGCTTCCCGTCAGTCAAGTGGGGCGGCGCGATCTCGTAGGCTCTTCTGAGAACGGGCTTGGTCTATTAGCAACGAGTTGATTCACGTTGGCATGTCTGATCAACACCGTGGCGCTGGGTCCGATCATGAATCCTGTTGTGCGGACACACGTCAGGGCGGGCGCTCGCGCCAGCAGATTGCGTCGTCCGGGGTCGCGGGCGAAGCCTGCCGGCCGCCGCTCCGACGCCGGCCGCCGCCGCCGCCGCTCCCGGTGCTGGTCTGCCGGTGCCCTCGCCCGCGAGACACACGACTGACCCGCCGTCGCCACGCCCCCGTCGGGGCGGACGCGATGCCCCGGCAGCGGAGGCGCTAATCGCCACCCTTGCGAACGTTCTGGGAACGGGCGGTCCCTGACGCGTCCCGGGAACCCTTAGTGTCGCCTCGCCATCGGGAACCGCTGTGAAAAAAAACCGGACGCCAGTCACTCGGCGCTGGGCGTGGCATGACGTCATGACATCTGTTTGGGATTAGCCTGCCGTGCGGAGCCGCCGTCTGTAGATGAGCGATGACATGCATGCACCCGGTTAATATTCGATGGCTGTCTGGGCCGTGCCTCGGTTCGTGCCAAATGGATATTTTAGGCACTCCAATTTATAGATTACGTTGTAACGGATGCAAATGGACATGACGAACCTGCATCGCTATGCTGATTAATTGACACGAATAGACAGGGGCCAGCTGCAGTCAGCCGAAGGGCAGTTGCTGACCACGGACAAAGAGTGGCTGCCGACACAGTAATGCGTCTCAGTGAGAAGGCTCACTGAGAAAGTTCATGTCAGATAGCATGGTTTCAAGGCAGGAGGCGGCTCCATGACAGTTGGTGACCACGGACAGAACGTGTCTTTGCCAGGCCAGGAATGGGCCTCGGCGAGTCGCGTGACCTCGATTGAGCGCCTGTCGCGGCCGACGCGCTCACCGCACCCTCGTCCCTGTCGCTACAGGTGCGGTTCTCGGAGAACAAGAACTGCAAGAAGTACATGGCGCGGATATCGTCCATCTTCGACAGTCTGCAGTCGATCGACCACCCGAACATCGTGGGCTTCCACAAGTACTGGTTCGACCAGCCGGACAAGACGGACAAGCCTCGGGTGAGTGGGCACGCGGCGTGGCCGGCGCCGCTGACGCCAGCCGACCGGCCTGGCCCGCTTTGGAGCGAGTTCCGTGTCGGGTGATCTTGATTAAAACTGATGGCGCAGGGAGCCTGATGCGGCGGCCGATATTGTTTTGACCCGAGCGGGGTACAGTTGGCCTGTTTGGGGAAGTTTGGCGGAGTTCAGTGAACCACACGCGCATTGGTTGCCAGGCATACGGTGCACACGCACCGTATCCCCCGTATGTGGGGCGTCGTCAACGTTGATGTTTCTGAAGCTCAATGTGATGAGGCGATCTAGACTGTGCACGGTACGTGAGTTTGCTGCCATGTCACCATCCCGATCACATAGGACGACAATATCACAAAAGCACACCACAATCACAACCGCAATCACGAAGGACGATTGTAGCAGGAAGTCAAAACAGAAAGCAGTTAACAGAAGGCCTTCGCGACGGGCGAGCCTTGACCCAAGCCTTGAGCCTTGAGCGAAGTACACGAGCCTCGATCGACATACAAGCGAGTCTGCCCAAAATGCATGCGGAACAACTCATCAAATCTCATCCAATTCCTGAGTGCACTGCATTAAGTACAAGATCGCTGTCATGGAACAGTCGCTTTCAAGTTCATGAGTTTGTTGTCGACTGTCTTTGCATTTTTGGGAAAAGTTGCATTTGATGTGTTGGCCGGATCCTTGCGAGTTTGTCAGATAGCTGTGTATCTGGAGCGCGACACAGCTTGCTTGGCTGTGTCGTGCCTACTGTATGCGGACCAGCGTAGCAAGAACGCTGAAGACAGTACGGCAACGCTCTGGAAGTGTAGTTCCAGCTATGCTTTAACTTGCCCCGAACGTGTCGTATTGCTGTGCTCATGAAACTTCCCGTGCTTTAATCGTTCTTTAACTAAATTTGTTTGCCTTTGGTGTGTGAGGAAAGTAGCATTCCAATCTTGTAGTCGGTCCAATCTTGTGCTCCAAGGTCGTCTTGGTGATGGTACTGCGGTGAGGAAAGCTGACGTCGAGTCGCAGTGCCCGCATGGCTACATTATTTGGTTGTTTGGGTCGCGTAGACATGGCGATCCGCAATAGCTATGACGCTCCGTGGAGGGTATGCCGACAAATGGGGCGGTAAACTCGAAAGCGGCGTGCCCAGGTCCGGGGTGGGGGAGAGCTTGAGTTCGGTGCGTTAAGGAGATTGTAAGAGCAGGCCTCCGTGGAGTTTCACCTGTGGCTCTTTTGTCACGTATGGGCTTGTTTGCAGCCTCGGGGGTGTCCACGTGGCCTCCGATGGCAGCACACCGAGCTGCCGCGGTGCCGACGCCGGCCCGGCTGTCTGTCGGCTGCGGGAGTGGTGACGGGCGCCGGGCCGGAGAGAGGGCGGGTCCGGCCGCGGGGCGACACTGGCTGCTGGAGCCGGAGCCGGAGCCGGCCCGGCTGTCTGTCGGCTGCGGGAGTGGTGACGGGCGCCGGGCCGGAGAGAGGGCGGGCCCGGCCGCGGGGCGACACTGGCTGCTGGAGCCGGAGCCGGAGCCGCCTAACGGGCCGGCGCACGCTGGGCGGCCGGTCGGCGCCCTGCCCCGACCCGGTGACCCGGCGGCGGGTCCGACGCTCCGCCGCGGTCCGGCCGACGGCGGAGGTCGCGTCATCGACCGGCTCCCGCGCCGCCCCGGCCGTCTGTCGCGTGCGCTGACGTGTCCCCAGGTGTGTTTGTGTGTGTGTGTCGGCCGGGCGGGGCCGGTCTCGGGCCACGCCCGCCACGGCTGCTGTCTAGACGCGCCCAGCAGCGGCCCCCGGCGCAGCCACCGGACACCTGCGGCCACCGCCCGCCCGGCGCCGTCTGGCCACTCAACGGCGGCGGGGCAGCGTCGCACTGCGACGGCCTCGGCTGGCGACACGGACGGCCGCCTGCCGGGAGGAGGCGGCGTCACACTCAGAGTCGTAGTCAGAGTCTCAGCAGTTGTAGTCAAAGTGGCAATGCCAGAGTCGCGGGCCGAGCGGCGACACCGGAAGCAACGTCATGTTGCCGGTCACGGTGTGGAGGCACGGCACTGTCACGCTTTGTTGTTGATGGGCCGACACCGGGGCAGGACTTGTTTATGGATCGAGCGGTGCCCCGACAACGATGATTATTTTGTGCCTGAGAGGGCCAAAGGCCATGGGTCACGGTCACGTGACTGTGATATCGACATCTGTGGAAACCCGTCGCACGCACACAACGGCGTCATAAAGCGGCGCAGTTCCTCTGATCCATGGCGTGGCCGCCGGCTTGACCCGCGCCGGCTGGACCCCGTCGCTGGGGCGCGGACGGCGCGCGGGCCGACGACTACGCTGTAGCGGACCGTCGCCAGGCCCTGTTTCTGTTGGCCCCGCTGGGCGGCGGCGCCGGGTGACACGCGGCGCCGCGCCGGCATTAATGGATGGCGTCGCCCCGCCGCCGCCTGTGGGCGCGCCAGCGGCGGCGGCGCCCGGCGTTGGCCCCCGCGGGGCGAGTCGGCCGGGGTCAGGGGACGGAAGGCGGCCGCGGTGTCGAACGTTGCCGGCAGCAGCTGATGGGCACGAGTGGGCTTTGCCGGCGTCGGCGCCGGCGTGCGGTTGTGCGGCTCAGCTTGTTTTGTGTTCTGCGTCGCTGGCGGTCCGGCCTCAGCCCCCTCTCCTCCCAAACTAGTGTTACCGGTCGGACGACACGTCCTAACGTAGCCGCTGCCGGCAGGTCAACTTCATCACCGAGTACATGTCGTCTGGCTCGATGAAGCACTTCCTGAAGCGCACGCGCGCCTCCAAGAAGAAGATGGCGATCGAGTCGTGGAAGCGCTGGTGCCGCCAGGTCTTGTGGGCCCTGAGGTACGGATGTGGCCCGATGAGCGGCGGCGCCACCCGCGCACCCCCCGCCGGTCGCCCGGCGCCACCACGCTGCCACCCCCCGCGGTGAACTCGCGCCGCTGCTGTCAGCACCGCTGAGAGAGAGGAGAGAGTACGGCTCGCGAGGTGGGGTGCACTGCTCGGTCCGGCCGCCTTGGGCGCCTGTCTGCTCGTACGCGCGCACGCGCGCGTGTGCGTGTGTGTTCTGACCCGCTGTGCAGACAGGCGCGCTGGTGCCGGGCGCGGCGGCAGTGGGGTGCGCTGCCGCCGCCGCCGCCGCTGCCAACGACGATGGCGCGGCAGCGGCCGTTGCTCGGGCGAGGCGAGCGACCGCCGGCCGGCAGAGGAGTCGATCCCGCCGGTGTTGGACTGGAGCAGGCCGACCGGAGCAGACCGGACCGGAGCAGACTGAACTGGATCAGACCGGACTGCGCCAGACCGGATCGAACTCAGACCAGACCTGCCGCCGACGGCAGGGCGGTGTGCGCCTGTGACACGCGCTTGGTTCTTGTTTCAGCTACTTCCATTCGAGCTCGCCGCCGATCATTCACGGCAACCTAACCTGTGATTCAATGTTCATTCAACACAACGGCCTGCTCAAGATCGGCTCAGGTACAGTCCCCCAGAGAGGCGCGCGTGCGCGGGGCGCACCCGCGCGGCCGGCGCCGCCGCCGCGCGCGTGCGCCTCGCGCGCCCGCCACCGCCGTCTAGGGCGCTAGCTGTAAGAGCGAGCTCCGGCCGGCCGGGCGCCGCCCCGGCGGCCCGCGCCGCCGAGCGTCGTCTGACGCGCCGCTCCGTGCTTGCAGCGGCGCCCGACGTCATCCATCAGCACGTGAAGACGGTGCGGCCGGCGCAGTTCCTGAAGAACGCCCACTTCATGGCGCCGGAGGAGGTGGTGCGGACGGCCGGTAAGTGGGGCGGCGCCGGGAGACGCCGGCAGAGCACCTGTCGCTGCCTGAGAGAGAGGGAGAGAGAGGAGGGGCGGGGAGGACTGAGGGTGTCTGAGCTGCCCCCGGGCGGGGGTCAGCCCGTCGGCCCACTGGTGGAGACGGAGACCGTACTACGTCCTATGCGAGGTCAGGCTCCGAACCTCGGACCGTTCGCCGACATGGTGACGTGACACATGGCGCCATCCACACGTGACGCCTGGACCACCGATCCACTGTTACCCTCGCAGCGGCGCTGTGATCCGCCCGATCCACTGTTACCCTCGCAGCGGCGCTGTGATCCGCCCGATCCACTGTTACCCTCGCAGCGGCGCTGTGATCCGCCCGATCCACTGTTACCCTCGCAGCGGCGCTGTGATCCGCCCGATCCACTGTTTCCCCCGCAGCGGCGCTGTGATCCGCCCGATCCACTGTTACCCTCGCAGCGGCGCTGTGATCCGCCCGATCCACTGTTTCCCCCGCAGCGGCGCTGTGATCCGCCCGATCCACTGTTACCCCCGCAGCGGCGCTGTGATCCGTCCGATCCACTGTTGCCCTCGGAGCGACGCTGTGGACCGCCGAGCCACTGTTACCCTGGCAGCGACGCTGCGATCGCCCGGTCCACTGTTACCCTCGCAGCGGGGCTGTGATCGCCCGGTCCACTGTTACCCTCGCAGCGGCGCTGTGATCCGCCCGATCCACTGTTACCCCCGCAGCGGCGCTGTGATCCGCCCGATCCACTGTTGCCCTCGGAGCGACGCTGTGGACCGCCGAGCCACTGTTACCCTCGCAGCGACGCTGTGGTCCCCTGCTCCACCGTTACCCTCGCAGCGACGTTGTGGTCTCCCGCTCCGCCGTTACCTGCGCAGCGACGCTGTGGTCCACCGGTCCGGCTTCCTCGTCGGCGCGCTCCTGGGAGTGTTTCGCCGCGGGGGATTTGTTTGCTCTGCTTCCGCGATCGCGCTCAGTTCCCACGGCACTCGTGCCAGGTCCGGGAGGCGCCGGCGGGCGCGTATCGCGGATGTCCAGCGAGGCGCCGGCCAGGGGGCCGCTGACATGTGCGCACGCTTCTCACGATAACAGACGCCAGAAAACAGCAGCACACGCGTGACCTTCGCGGACAGACTGTCTGGCGGCTGTGGGTCTGTCCACACGCGACATGTCCAGTGTTTATGCCTTGTAATATACATAAATCTTATGTAATGGAATATGCGTCGGCGTCGTTTTTGGCAGCCCCCGGCTTTGTGTGACCACCTTGGGGCGTTGAGGGACCCGGACGAACCATGCGAATGAGTGCGTCGGACAATCACGGGCTGTTGTTGCAGCTTGTACCTCTGGTCGCCGTAGCGTCTCAGGCGTGTCGCTGCGCACCTGCATAACCTGGCACGGCCCGACAGCCGACAGTGCAGTGGCGTATAGCCGCGGGGCCCAGCGTAGCCGTGGAACCGTCGTCGCCGTGTGCCCGCGCCGCAGTGGTTGCTGCCGTGTTGACTCTGCACGCGCCGCGACGGCTCCGCGACTGCGTGCGCTCCGTCCGACCCCGTCGCCCCGCTGACTCGCCCCTCCATCTGCCGGCGCCCCGCAGGCGACGAGCGCACCAGCAAGTCGGACATCTACTCGTTCGGCATGTGCGCGCTGGAGATCGCGGCGCTGGAGATCCAGGGCAACGGCGACTCCGGCACGCCGGTGAGGCCCGCGTCGCTCGGTCCCGCCTCCCAGCCGCGGCCTGGCTGATGACGACACTCGCGTCAGTGGCTGGTGACGTGCACCAGACTCCGGTGACGCGTGCGCCGGTGGCTGGTCGGCTGCGACACCAGAGGCCACGCTGGGCCGCCAGCGGTCGTCGGGGATACCCCGCGTCGCCAAAGGTCGCCCTGGGGTAGGACGACGCGAATGTGCAGCGAACTGCGCCGTGTTTGTTCGTGCTGTTACTGCGACCGCTGCTGCTGCAATCGTCTGGGTGCCGAGGTTCGGCTGCACCTTGCGGAGGACAGGCTGCAGTGGCCGGCGTGATCCGACCGGCGTCACCGGGCCGCGTCCGGTGAACGACAGTGCTGCTGACGACCCGTGACGTCACCAGCCCGGCGCCGCCCTTGCCCCGCCGTCGCCGCCGCCGGTGACCTCGTCTGACGTGGCGCCACGCTCCCGGCCGCAGGTCACCAAAGAGAACATCCACAACACAATCGAGAGTCTGGAGCATGACGCGCAGAAGGACTTCATCCGCGCGTGCCTGCGGCCCGACCCGGAGAGCCGACCCACGGCGCGCCAGCTGCTCTTCCACCCGATCCTCTTCGAGGTGCCCACACTCAAGCTGCTGGCCGCGCACGCCGTCGTCAACGACCCCAGTGAGTGGCCGCAGCGACGGGCAGGGTGGAGGGGGACGGGGGCTGGGCTGGAGGGTGGAGACGAGACCCTTATGGAGGTGGACAGGGTCGGGTGGGAGGAGAGGGTGGGGACGGGGCTCGGACGGAGGTGGACGGGGTCGGGTGGGAGGGGGGGGGGGGTGAGGACGAGACCCGTAAGGAGGTGGACAGGGTCGGGTGGGTGGAGAGGGTGAGGAGGGGACCCGTACGGAGGTGGACGGGGTCGGGTGGGAGGGGAGGGTGGAGACGGAGCTCTGACGGAGGTGGATGAGGCTCAGGCGGAGGCGAACGGGCTCAGGTGGGGTGGACGGGGCCCGGTTGGGGTGAGCGGTGATGGACGGGGCTCTGGAGAGGTGGGCTGGGCTCGGGCGGGGATGGACGGGGCCCGGGTGGGGTGGGCGGGTTCGGGAGAGGTGGGCTGGGCTGGGGCGATGATGGACGGGGCTCAGGTGGGGTGGACGGGTTCGGGAGAGGTGGACGGGGGTGGACGTGACGCTGGAGGGCGAGCAGTGGCGACGATTACTGCGCAGGTTCGTCTGGTATGTGGTTTTAACGTGCAGAGTGTGTGTAAGTTGGACGTAACAGGGCTTGCTGTACCTGGATTTGACGCAAACATTCGCCTGATATTAGACGGTCTTCACACGCATGGTTTTCTAGATCCGGTGCGAAATATGCGGGGTATGAATTGAATGTTAGAGTCCTGGTGAAGAGACTGGTTCGTTGGGTCTAGATCATAGGGAAGATTGCGCGTTGCCCATTCGCAGCCAGATTCTCTCAAACTTAATAAGAATTGCCCATCTGGCCGTCTTGTTTTGCTAGCCGAAGACATCTGCAATTGGTTTCAAGGGTTTTCGTGCCCTCCCCAGTCATGAGTTGATTACATTATCGTCCACATGGCTCAGTGGTTGGCCAGCCTGGGAGCAGAGTCCGCGCAGCACCGAGCAGGTGTTGGCATGGGGACGATGGGCGGTCACAGCTGCTGACGACCACATGCAGGGATGCCAGATTGGACGGCGTTGACGGCCGGCGTAGCGCACAAGAGATGTGTGACGATGTTTTCATGGCCTCCCCCTCCCTCCTCCGTATTATCGCTGTTAGTGGCGTTTGTTCAGACTGAAAGTTGGACGGACAGAGTCCATCCAGTCCGAGACGAGTGCGTCCAGTCCAAGGCGAGTCCATAGTTCAGAGCGAAGGCTGTGCACGTTACGAACGACATGAGTGGAGAGTTTCAGAATTACTCGAGGACTAAAAGCGGTGAAATCAAGCGTGATCGTTAAGATGGTGTTTGAATGGCGCAACTCTCACTGCCGTCCGGAGACCGTCAAAAAGACGCAACTGCTACGAAAAATGCATTACTTGGATTTGAACGGGGAGGGCCATTACATGCCGAGGATTAACATATAGCATGTTGTGAGACATGACAGACGCACTGGATTTAGCTGATAGGTGCATTAGACATCCAGAAGTGCATGTTCCTTGACGCATGCGAGGTCTAGCCGCTCCAAGTTTAAACACCCCATCAGAGTGATAGGCCGGAAAGTCCCGAGCATCACCATCATCACTGAGCCGTGGACCAACTCAATTAAGCCTGCGAGCTCGGCTCGGCCGCTGGAACGAAGTCAGTAGCGACCGGCGTCGATGAAACCCCCGGAGGCACGGAGTCGGCCCGCCGTCCGGGCGGTGGCACCGGGCGTCGGTCCCGCCCACAGCCGCCGGGGCCGTGGCGGCCCGGCCCGGCCGGTCCGGCCCGTGGCGTGACGCCAGCGTTGCCGGCACTGCCGACCGCGTCCGGGGACGGGTATTGAGTATCGAGCGGCCGTCTCGTGCCCGGCCGTCAATACGGCGGCACGTCAATGTGAGAGGTCCGTTCGTTTGTGGTTGGTCGCTGGTTGTCCCTGGTCATCGACCGGCTTTCTTTGGGCGATCCGGTCGGCCGGCGCGGTCAATTCCGTGTGGAAACCCGCCGCGCGGCAGACCGAGAACTGATGATTGTGGTTGCGCTCGGTAGGTGGCGGTAGCGCGGTGCCGGGAAGCGCCATGGGTGTGGTCTCACGGCATGGTTGAGCGTCCGTTGAGAGGCCGTAATTGGATGTACCGAGGAAGGGCGGACAGAAACCAGCACCATTCCAAGAATTTAACGGTAGGCGCTTTGCATAGATGTCACGGACATAAAAGTTAATGGACCACGACCCCGAAGAGGGTCCCCTTGTGGACGTGGTGAGACGAAGATGATGGCCTGGTGATGAAGCACTCATCCGGAGATATATTAACCTGTCGTGTATGGGAAGAATTTTACATTACAGAAGCGATTAGCCGGCGGGACTTAACGTGGGACAGCCCTCTAGAACTCCTTTCAGGACTGGTATCCAGGTCGGTACCAGGTCAGTGACCTTAGGCCAGCACCTGAGCGCCAGCGCCAGTGACCGGCAAATGAAATGGCCAGCGCTCGTGGGTTCCGGGCGGGTTTTCCCGCATTTGAGCTTCTTCGATATCTTCTGCGATGATCGTCGGCGAAGGTGGAGGACCTAGATAAAACAGGATTGCAATACGTCTACGAAGCACCGGCATCCGCCCTGCAGGCAGTGGCGCTGCCGACGGCCCGTTACAAAGTCTTCGCTGCTGTCAATTCTCGTCGACTGCCGCCGACATCCTCCGCTGAAATGGCGGCGAACGGTGACGCGGACAGCTGCCGGCCATGTATACTGTACGCTGGTGTCTCTCTCTGTGTGTGTGTGTGTGTGTGCCGTCCGGCGCGTGTGGAGCGCGCGCGGCGGGCGTGACGCGGCGCCCTCCCTGCCGCAGACATCAGCCCCGAGGACGCCGAGGTGTACTGTAACCTGAGTCCGGACCTGGTGATCGCTGAGATGCGCCACGAGGGCCAGGAGCCCACCCAGCTGCGCGTGCAGGACGTCACCTCGGCCGAGAACATCGGCAAATTCGTCGAGGACGTCCGGTAAGCGGGTCGAGCGGCGGCGCGGCGCGGCCGCTCGGCTGCGGCGCGTGCGCGTGGTTTCGGTTCATTGCCAGCGGAGAGAGCCGGCAGCCGTGCCTGAGCCCTGTCACCGCTGCTGCGCTGCCATAGGTGGGATCGCTATGCGTGCAGCACTGCTCTAGCCAGGCTAACCCCGACACAGATGCAGAGTCCAGGGCGAGAGTCGTGGCTGTAGCTTGTGGCCGTCGGGGGAGCGCGCTGCTCCGCTTGTGTGAACAGAAACTGCCAAGAGGGAGGGGGGGGATGACCACCCGCTGCCTGTGTGTGTCCCGTGACCTCGCTCCGGGCGCGCGGCCGGGGCTGACCGCGGACCTTCTCGGCAGGGTCGGCATCTACCCGCTGACGGCGTACGCGCCGCCGCCGCCGCCGCCCGTCACTCAGGCGCGCGCCGCCAGCCCCGACACCATCGAGTCGGTGCACTCGGACACGCCGGAGCCGTCGGAGCGGGAGGGCCGCAAGGTGGTCACCATGATGTGCGAGGTCAAGTCGGACCCAGCGCTCGACGCCAGCTTGACGGTAAAGGCCGGCGCGCTCCGGTGCCGGCCCGCTCGGCGCCGGCGCCCGCTCTGTCTGCCTCCGGCTCGCGGACGCGCGCGGCGGGGCTGGCTGCCGTGTCCGCGTTCGCTGACGCCAGGCGTGCTCCTCAGGATGGTGTGCTCTGTTGTTGACGCTGCTCGGTTGTGGTGGTTGGTGCTTGGTTGGGTCGAGCATGCTTGTCGCTGGGTTCTCTTGTTGGCCACAAGTTGTCTGATTTGAGTTTGCTCTTTTCAAGTGTGTTGGTATCTTGAGGCATTATATTGAACGCCTCCCTCTTGCTTGTTTCCTGTTCTTCAATCTGTGTTCGAAAAAACGCTGCCTGTGTTCTGAAACACTGTTTTGGTTTCTATGTCCAATCCTTGCAGCCTCCGCTGTTTCCCTTTGCTGTATCTTGCTGGCTAGTTTGCGCTGTTCATTTGCTTGTTGATCGTGCTACTTTCGCAATGATTTCGTTGGTCATATAAAGCCTTTGGACACTTAATGTGATAAACTGCTACAATTAATCGCTTGGCTTACATTGCTCATATTGGCTGGAAGCGGTGAGATGAATTTGCATACACTAGATGCCTAGACCTTCAAGCGGATTTTTCATTTTATTATGCTGTATGTATGTCCTGAATGGAATTTCTCTGTGTAGTTTTGCTGTACGTTTCGGCAGTGGCCATTATCGCGACAGCACAGTTTCGTTCTGCGGAAAATGTCCAATGATCATTGGCCATCTTTTGGCGCACGTTACATTTTCTGAACGTAATGGACTGTGCCGAAACGTCACGCGTTCTCCATGGAGTGTCACCGTGAGCATGCGACGCAGCTCTGCGCAGCGCCCAGTCGGTCCAGCCCGCGCGTGAGCGAGGTCTGTGACCGCGGCGACCTTCCGACTCATCTCACACGGGTCTCCCAGCGCCCTTGGCCGCCGTCGCCGCTCGGCGCTCGGCGCTCTCTTGGGCCATCCGCCGTTGTCGCCGCGCTGTAGTCGACGTGCGTTCGCCGACGGCCGCCGCCCCTGACCTTGCGCGCGGGCGCTCGACCGCCGCCAGCTGGTGCTGTTCCTGCGGCTGGACGACAAGACCAACCGGCAGCTGTCGTGCCGACTGGCGCCCGACGACTCTGGCTCACTGCTCACCGACGAGCTGGTCAGACACGGCCTCGTGAACGAGGTGAGGCGCCGGGCGGAGTGGGCCGCCGGCGTGTCCGGCTGGTGGTGGTGGTGGTGGTGGTGGTGGTGAGCTCGGAGAGAAGTGTGATGGGACAGGCTGGGGCGTATGGGGGGAGGGGGAGGGGTGTTACTGCTGCCAAGTGGTGCAATGTCTGGATGGAGATATTAAGGTGAGAAGCCCCGTCAAGGAGAAGCGGTCTCCGTTTTTCGCCATCAACGCGCACCATTTTACGCATCTATAGCGAAAGGGGTTGACGTCAACTGCTTTACGGTCCGAAAACGGCGAGCTTGTGCTGAGAGTATGGTTGATGAATGGTGTCCAGTGAACTGGGATGGGACGGGCAGCGTTGCGATGAAGCAGTCTCTCCGTCCGTGTCTGGCGAAGATGCCTGGCGTCTTTTGAGTTGGCGTCTTGCTCTGCGAAGCCGCGCCCCGCCTCGCGAATCTCTTGGCTCGCGTCGTGACACTCTGGCCTCGCCTCCTACGGCCCTCTGACCTCTCCCGGCGACCTGGCGCCGCCGCCGCCGCTGACCGGCCGCCGCTCCGTTCCAGATGAACCGGGACGAGCTGACCAAGCTGATCGACGGCCGGCTGCGGGCACTGCGTGTGCAGCCGGCCGTCGTGCCGGCCAGCTAACGGCCGCCGCGCCGCGCCGCGACGGCCGTAGAATCTCGCCCGCCGATGCCGTCTTCCGCCGCCTGCTCTCCGCCGCGCGCCCTGGGTCCAAGCGGTTTATTTGCGCGCGCGCGCGCGCGCGCGCGGCGGCCCGCGCGAGGCCCGTGTATAGACTGAGTGCGGTCGCTGTTCTGAGAGCGCGCCGCGGCGCCGTGCGGGTACTGTGAGGACCGGGAGCGGCCGGGGCCGCGGGCGCCCCCGCGGCCTGCGTGAGTGCCCCACCCGAGTGTGCGCTGTTTCTCAGGACAGATTATGATGAGCTTAGTGCTACGCTTGGATTGCTTGAGTTCTGTACGGACGTGCGTGGAATCAAAAGGCGCAGGCTGGACGCCGTGGCGCGGGGTCTGGCCGACGGCGGAGCTGCCTGCTCAGGCGCACGCAAGACACTTCGAAGGGCAGGGGAGGGGTGGCTGCGCCCGCTTGCCCGGGCGTCTGGCCGACGGCGCGGCGCCGCCCACTGCTGCGCACAGCAGCACTGTACAGTATAGCTCTCTGAGAGTAGCTGCGGAACGCACGCACAGGTGGCGCGGCCCGGCCGCCGCCGCTCCCGGGGCGCCGCGGCAGGGGTGCGCACTGCGTGACGCGCCCTGCGTGGCCGCCGGGCGACCCTTGCCTTGGAACGCGTTTACGTAAGGTTTTCTACCGCAACCGACAATATGGCATTCCCTTTAGATTCCACTAGTGGACAGCATCGGCTGCGGGCCGGCTAGCCGCCACACGCATTCGCCTTCCGCCTGAACCTTGCCAGTGCTTGAAATAGGACCCGCTCCAGCAGTGCTGCCATCTGTGGAGTGGTTTTGTCGGCACCGGCAGCCTGAGCGTTCCGGTCGTTCGAAAATATTTAGGCGAAAGTTCGGTCAATGTGAGTTTCATTACTGATAACCTGTAAACGAAACTCGGATTTGCCCGTTTTTATCTTTATTTAATGAATACAGTTCGGTTAACGTGCTGGCAGTGTGTGTTTGTATTGATATGGCTTGATGCGGGCAAGGCTTGTCGACGTGGCTGGATGCGGACAGGGTTTTGCACATGTGGTGCTCTGGTTCCTGGCCAGTAAGAGGGCGGTTGGTATGCATTGCGTCCCAGGCCCGGCTCTGCGGTAAAGGTCCGTTAAACGTGAAGCCGTTGGCTCAGCCAATGGGCATCTTTGATGTCTCGCGGGTTCACGCCGTTCATGGCTGCGACATTGTCTCGGAAGTCATTCCTTGGAGTTCGCTCAGCACGGTGTGAAAAAGATTGGAAATATCAGAAAGGTTCAGGGGATGGTAGGCATCTTCAATCTGGCGCTCGTGCCGGATACGCGCGAACCATCAGTGGGTCGTTGTCATGGTCGGCGCGATGTAGGCATTTGACAAAGCATTTGTAATGCCGCGGCGTTTGCAATTCACGCCTGTAGTGGCGACCGAGTTGCGATCTGCATGCCCGTTTTCTTCCAAGGAGTAACGACTGAATCGCGGACCGCTTTCATGGCGCTGGAAGACGATTTTCCTCTATGGGTCCCATGCAAAGATGTTGTTAAAAGGCATTTATACACCTGCACAGTTGAAAATAACGAGTTTATTAGTTAAACTGGTTTGCAAATCGGTAACAGGGCCGGGTCCAACAGAGGTCTTTGTGTGTTTGGGATGGAAGAAGGCGTAACCTCCCCCTCCCATGGGCTTCTGTTTGAATCCATGGGGAGGCTCCCAAAGCTTGAACAGCACCTACCAAGGATCCTGTTTGCAACATGTTCAGCGTCTCACTGATGATAAAGTTTCAACAGCAAGCTTTTCTAGCGCGCTTGCTTTCGCGACCGATATGCGAGAAGGGATGAATAAGGTGATATTCAATTTGGAGTAACGGGGCCAGCAGACTGTATGACCCTATGCCGCGATAGCGCCTTGTAAAATGTAAATGACCTCCATTTCGGTGAATCCCGGATTCACACCCAAAAAAGTGACCATCCAAATGTTTTGCTAACCCAGCAACATCACCAAGAGGTGAGGTGTGGGGGTGCAAAGCAATATATTCCAGATAGGGAATAGGTGGGAATGGGCGTTTGTCGCGCGCCCATGGACATTTAGGCATATTTGGTGGCAAGGGTTCACAAGACGGATGGCGCGAATGCGACATTTGCGTTGCTTTTTGTGCAGTCGGTTCCAGTGCTCGTCCTCACATCCTTGCCCGTGCCAGCGGCGAGTACTGCTGAGGGGGCGGAGCCGGTATCGGACAGTGCGTTCAATATGGGAACACAGTTTATGATGCTTTCATTCGTCAGATCAGGTCAGTTCGATTAACTGGTAATGTATTATCACTCCCAGCAGGTGGGATAATTGTCAAATGTCTCAATTTCCACAAATTAGGACTGAATACTGCAAATTTTCCGTTAAGGGCGTATTGTTAACCACGCGGTTCGAGGAACACCATGCCTCTGCTGCAGCATTGTATCTCTGTGCCTTTGTATATGAAACAAGTGTCAATTTGAAACTGGGAAACCCAAGCAGCTGAACAATCCTGTCCAATAAGTGGCCATGAGCAGATGGATAACAGTCCCAGGCTTAGAGGCATACACTATAGCATAAAAACACTGTGTAATATCAATAGACATACTGCACCATTCCACAAAAGCTGGGTGTGACAAGCAGTGTGTAGCAAATGTGTAAACTTTATCTTGAATATGGCACTCGGGGGTAGACCGCAAATCATGCATGTTATGCTAAACATGTCTGGCATAATAGTGACATGGAGAGATGGCATATAATAATACCTTACTGCAACTCCCAACCATTCATGTACTTTGAACCATAGTCCTAGTTCTGATTCTACCCATATTCCTAGAATGGTCTGGTGAATTTTGTTTTTGTTTTTGCCTTTGCATGTGTGGAAAATGCTGAATTGCAGCCTGTTCCATGTTGTATGCTTGCAGCTTCCAATTTTGTTTGTGATTCTCTGAGAGAAGCCAAGGATAGCTATGGGTAAAGAACTCCTAGCACTGCAAAACATCATTGCAAGATATCCCCAGGGACAGTGCAGGAGCCACTGCTGGTATTCATATATTGAAATGGCTGTGAAGTGGTCAACACCAACCACACTCTTATGCTTATGCTCTGAACATGTAGTTGATGCTCTCCTTTCCTCTCACACCATGAAAATTAACAAGAGGCAACATTGCGGCTTCAGTCAGATTTAGGCAATATTAAACAATTTGATAGGACATTGTTGCACAAGTTTTCATCATTACCTTCAACTTTTGGAAAAACCTTGTGCAACCAACATGTTTAAGAAGAATGGCAAGTCAACCACTTAAGCTAATAGTTAATGACCTGCCAGTGGCTGTTCACCACCAAAAGCGTTAACAACTTACTACTTAGATGTAATTCCACAATCAGACCTGCATGTTCATGGTGATGATAACAAACTTAGAAGTAGAATCAACAGGCCAATTTTTCTTTTAGATGCTATTTTGTTATGGAAGAGTATCTGTCACATAGTATGTTGAATCTGATCCATAAGGAAGACCAGATTCAGACTGCATTAATGTTAAACATCTGAGCCATTGCAGGCTGCTCCAATTTTGTCCATGAGTCATGTTTAAGCATGGCTATCACATGAACATGATGGAAACAGGTGCAGGGACCTATGTGACATGTCATGCATGAGGAACCTGCATGACAGGGAGCATTACCACATGAAGCAACTTATGCATCCTGTGGTCTTGCATAGGGGATCAGTGTCATTAATGGTAACACCATGCTAAGGGACTGTCACCAATCTGAAGCTGCATGTGTTGCAGCATGATATCTGCCCATAGCCAATTTGTGGGACCCAAAAAGTATGTGAAAACCTATTTTGCACTAAAAATGAAATCTGACCCCAGAGATTATAAGCAGATGCAGTGTTGTGGGCCCACTTTGACATGGGAACATCTCTCAGTTGCATGCTGGATCTCACCCAGGGATGAGTCTCAATCCAACTTCAGGGACTGCCATCAGGTGTGCCCCAGTAGATCCTGTGCAGGCAGAGGCTGTAATGGCCTAGCTGGAGCTCCAAAGAACACATCCTGGGGCCCTTGGACTCAGGACATTCTGCTAAATCTAGCTCCAGTGCTCTCCAGGGACTGTGGCATCATTTGAGCTGGACTGCTACAGAGCACATACATCCTGCCCCAAGTATTGACGCATACAAGTCCTGCCCCCAGTATCGACGCACCTTCTTCCGGCCTGTTCCCGGAACAGCAGACCCATTCCAGTGCATTCATTCTCCCAGCCAGCGCCTGTGAGACCTGAGCTTGACACTGGGTCACTGCCAACACTGCCCCTGTCTGAGCACGTGCCGGGCCGCTGGTGACAGGCGCGCGTGCCGTCCGCGCCGGTCAGCTGGTACCGCCGGCCCGGCGCCAGAGCGCGCTGGCCGCCGCGCGCGCCCTGCTGGACGCCCAGCTGGAGGACATACGCGGGGCGGGCACCTGGAAGACGGAGCGCGTCATCACGTCCAAGCAGGACGCGGCGATCCACGTGCGCGGCCGCGACGGCAGCGTGCTCAACTTCTGCGCCAATAATTACCTGGGTCTCTCCGTAAGGCATGCATGTGTGGCCGGCAGTGCACCGGGGAGAGATGCGTCTCGGCGCTGGGCGCGGGTGGCCCGCTTGCACCGCATGCGGGGCGTTTGTCCGGCACGTCCTCCACCTCGCCCACCTCCCACCCCCGCACCCCACCGGGCACCGAATGCGCATGCGTGAGTGCTGAGAGGGATGCGGGGCAGAGTGGCGGGCTGCGAGCTGACTGCACGCTGTGAACGCGGACGGCCGCTCACCGGCCGTTGGCGGGGGTTAATGATGCGCACGCCGCCGCCGCTAGAGGCCGGGGTCGGAGCTGCCACGCGTCGTGATGTGACGGGGCTCTCTGGTGTGTCGTGGCCGAGTTTGGCGGCCGGTGTGCGCCGCGCGTGCCGCTGTCCGGTATGGGCTGAGCTTCGGCAAATGGCGCTGATCCACTGCGCAGAAGAACAGTCTTGGTGGGGGCATACACATCGCTCTTTGCTGAGGTTTGTTAGAAAGACGTGCGGACAACGACGGCCTGAACTTAAGCCGCGGGACATTGTCGTCGAGAGCAGGTCGGACCGGGCGGCTGCCGCCCACGCGCGCGCCACTGCCGTGCTCTGTGAGCACACTGACCTTGCGGTGCGGACGCCAGCAGCCAGCGCGGAGGCGGCGCAGTTCTCGAGCGGTGCCGGCGGGTGGCGCACGCCGCTTCACTCGACTCCGCCGCCGTCCGAGTGGCTTGCACCCTCCGCATCATGGCCGGGGACTGCCGAATGGTGGCACGCAGCTGAAACGTCTTCTGCGGCATGGCACGGAGCGCGCTGTCGTTTGCGCGAATGTTACCGGGCTGAATGGTCGTAGCGCAGAACGGTGTGCGTTGTTCCCAGCTTCGTATGGCTTGTTGTGTCGTTCCTTAGTTGGTCCCGGCGTGCGGCACGTTTGTGGTGTTAGAGACCCTGAGTTATGTGCTGATCAAGCGCTGTCTTCGAAAAGTAGTGTGAATCTTCCTCGACCGGCAACCACCCTCCTGATTTTGTCTGTTGGCGTCAACTTTGGTTTTTCGCATGATGCAAAATGAAATACAAATCCAGAGTGTGCTTGGGCATGAACACTGTTTTTTTTTACATTTGGTGTTCATCGATGTGTCGATAATGTTATGGTCGCACTCCACAACACAATGACACCACATGTCATGCTCGGGCATAATTATTTGTTCGCTAGACCGTGCTTTTCCGTGTCCCTGACTGAGACGTCCGGATGGGCTGTCGGTTTTAATGCCAGTATGATGCTATCACACCGTGAACGACTCCCCACCGGACACAATCTACAGCTGTAAACTTGCCACCGACACAGCCATTCTCTGTGGACCTGACGGCCGGCGGTGGGTGGAGTCATCAGCCGTGGGCAGGACCGGTCTGCGGGTACAGCGGCCGG